TCGAGTATTTGGTAGAGTCGAAAAATTATTACGCAAGCATCCTACAATTACTCTAACAAGCGAGTACGAGGCATTATTGTCGGAAATTGGATGTGTAAAACCGCTTGGAGTAAAATGGGAATTTTATGACATAAAATCTCTGGAAACATTCTACAAAAAAGTTGAAGGAATCTCAAACATTAAGAGGATTGTAATTCAGAAATTTCCCACAAAGGAGGGAAAAATTCGGTGTAAAGTAACGTGTAATCAGTATTACAAAGAAAGCGAAACTGAAGTACCGAAGATCTTATTAAAACGCGGAAAGTCTGATGCAGATATAGAGCTGGATAAAATTAATTTAATACACAAAATTTCGCAGGAAAAGCTTGAAGATGTTGAAAAATTGCTAATTAAGCAATTTAGCGACGCTTGGGATCAACTACAGAATTTACAGTGGTATCGTACTCTTTTAAATTGTCATAACAGAAATCCTACTGCGACACTTCTTGATGACGAGGAAACCGAAGAAATTTGCGACTGCTTGGATGAAGACTGTGGTTTCCATGTTTAAAATTAACATAAAAAATGTTTAAAAAGCATTGTTAAATTTATAAATTCTTAACTTTGTAAACAGCAATCAACTAAATAAACTTAGAGACTTTAATTTTATTAATAAAAAACACATGAATCTAATTGTTTATTAAATTTAACACGATAAATGATTTTAGTGTCTATATAAATATATATATATATATATATATATATATTTTCTCAGATTTTATAATTTTCATTTTGTTTGTACATAATTTTTAAAACACTAATATTATCATGAACCTTTTTTGTTTTTATTAGCGCGAAAAAACGGATCAACGTTTCATTGGCGGTTGGAAACATGACATTTCACTTTAAGGTTGAGTTTAAAAATAACTGTCATTGAATCTACTGGAACTAAACAGAATATGTCCAAACCTATAAGAAACCAAAACTGGATAAATCCAGTGTCCGGAAACAAAACTAAATAAATCCATTTTTATTTTTTAAATATAATCAATAACTAATTACATAAAAAAATTTTTAATACTGTGAATGAATGTAGTGGATCGTCTGCGTACATAATCGTTTTTACTTTTATTTTACCTCAATTAGTTTTAAAGATCCAACGTTTGTTGGTTTATCTTAAAATCACTTCAATTGGATTTATTAGGTTTTGAAAACTTGCTCCTCAGTTGTTTTCTCATGTTTTCACTTATGCAAGGTTTAGTAACCAAATTCGACACTTCAGTTCACCATTTCCATAAAGAAAATTTATGGAGCCTACAATCGAAAATTAAACAACTGTACACAATCTTGGCGTTTCTATTCCCGTCAACCAACCATCACAACAACAGCTCCAATCCAACAAGAGGAGCGTCCGACCTGCTAGCTGGTCCGATAAGTCAAATAACGACTGCTTTTCACAAAACACTTGCAAACGCGTTCGTGAATCAGAATCACAACTGAGTTCTAAGAGTGAGTCTACATCTTTTGACCCCAATTCCAAAAATTTTTTCCTTAACAAAACCTTTTCACGGCAAGCAACTCCAACAACCCTATCAAACAACAATAATAATTTTGAATGGTAATCCTCCTCAATTACTTCCAAGACAAACTTAAGATATTCCCAATCCATGAATCAACCATCCATAGTAATCCTCCAATTCGATTCTAAGCAGGACCTATCTGTGAACATCGGTCGTTACAATCCGATTGATCTCGCAAAAAAATCAGAGCAATTACTCCAGGCCCCTTAACGATTTCTGCTAATAGCCAAAATAGCACTAAGATAATCTGTGCAAATTATTCCGATGCAAACAAAATCCTCGAACACTACAATAATAAGAATCAACCATACCTTGCATTTCCTCCAATTTCTCTATTTTATAAAAAGGGTTTCATCAAAAACATCGATACTAAAATTACTCTCCTGGAACTACTCGAAAATGTGGACGTTCTATCAAAACCAGTAATCCTCTCTCTTAAAAGGCGAGTTAACCCAGGAAAGTTTTAAATGCAAGAGTTATTCTTCTCCCAAACTCCCCTCTTCACTCTTCACGATCAAAGAATTCATCATCATCGAAATCTCACCTTTCCCTGTTCTTAACTTAATGCTCCCTCCCCCTTTTTCATCATCATCCTCCTCTCAAGTTTTTCTTGCCCCCCTTCCAATCTCCAATCTTTTCCAACATCAACTCCTAAACAATCTTCTAATTAACTCTCTAATTCACAACTCATCGATAAAAATCCAAATCAAGAACATTGAAAATTCTTCAACTCAATCGTTGATAACATTCAGACCAAACTCTCCTTTATTGAAAAATCATTTGAAGAAACAAACATCTCATCTGATATGTCTATGAGGCAAATCGATGATGAAAAGAATGATTAAATTATCTATTAAACTTTCAATTCTCATAATGTTTTTTAACGCTAATCCGAGGTATCATGATTTTACACCCAGCAAGCGTTATCACCTCGAAAGTCGATCTTGGTGATTGGTGGAATGAATTTTTTGAATTAGGTTCTGTTGGTATTGAATCAACTAAAGGTCAAATTGTCATTGTTTCTCTTTACATTCCTCCCAATAATCGAATTGATATAAACATTTGGAACAGACTGCTCATTCAACTTTCTTAATTCTCTCTCACGCATAATCATCACAGGAGACATTAACTTACACTCGTTACTCTCGGACATTTAACATACAATTATAATGGTTCGAATCTCACAGAGTCTCTATCTGATTTTGATGTCATGAACGACGATACCCCCACCTACTATAACATCCATTCTGGTTACTCTAGTGTGTTCGGCCTGGTAATTGACTCTACATCACTCGTCAACAATTTAGATGTTAGTGTTTTAAATGACACCTTCTCCTCCTCTTCTTCTTTTCTGCACATGAGTGAGAAATATGAGAAATGAGCGATATTGAGAAAGTCTTTATTCTTTTGTTTCTTTTTTCTCATCTCGTCTCATCTCATAAATTACTATTCTCAAATCGTTTAATATCTCAAACATTAACCTCTTGTCAGTAAAACATTTGAATATCTGATGTCAGATTTCCAAAATTTAAAATACACGGAGAAAAAGGAACAGTTGTCACATCCAGATACATGGATATCACAGCCATATTATATTGAAAAATACGGGATATCCATAGTAAAGGTTGCTGCATCCATATTCTATGGCTGGCTGTATATTGTTGGAGCAGCAAATGATCTATGGTTGGGTGATCCATAGTAATAGAAATGGGAAACAAAAGAATTAGAATCACTCAATTAATTAAATTCCATGTCACTTGAGATATTTTATACACATTTTTGTTAATTAATACACACCACTTATTGAATAAGTGCATATTAACGAAATAAATTATTAACCGATGGGGGGAGACACAAACCCTAGACCTAACGCATACTAAACACTAACGCTATCCACTACACTATACACACAACTACAATATCTGAGCATATAATATTCCTTATATACTCTACACATATTTCATGAAAATGAATTTACATAAAAACTAATAGACAATAACGATAATAAATAATAAACAATTATAACACTATTTATACACAATATAAACTCACAACGTGATTATATAGACGTGACAGGAAACCGACGCGACGGACAAATTGAGACGACCATTTTTAAATGGATGCCATGATAATGAATTGCGCGCAACATGTATCGAAATTTTGAACTAACTATGGATCTCCCAACCAAAGTTTATATGGATGAGGCAGCCATATGTGAAAATCCATAGCATGAATTGTAAGCCCAACCATGCCTATGGATGTCACATCCATATTTGATTTAACAATATAATATGGCTCCCTCATCCATTGAATATGGAATGTGCTTCCATTCTGAAAGTTGTCTCTTCCATTGAATTGGATAACACAACAATATTCTGCTCAACAATATTTTTATGGATATCTCTTCCAGACCTTTTCTTTCCGTGTAGCAGATCGTTAATGGCAAACAACAATTTTAAATATTTACTTATTTCTTTAAACCGTTTGTGGCCCAAAAACTATTTTTTTCACCAGGCAGGAAAGGGGTTAAACTATTCAAATATTATTTTTTCGTTCATCAATATTTCCAACAATAATTAATTGCGGATTTTGTTTAATTAAAATTAAATATTTTTAATTCATTCATATAATTTTATCCATGGTTCAAGGTTTATTATATTTATGTTCTTTAATTAATTGCAATACATTCAAAAATACTGTAAAAAATGTTTTCTTAAATAGATCAGAAATAGATCAGAGAATTTTTTTAAATTCTTTTAATTAAAATGTATCTAATTATAAAATACAATATAATTTTTTTAAATTTTGTTTAATACATTCTTCTCAAATTATAATTTTTTTATAATTCCCTAGAAAAACGCGTGCTTGTTTAACACTATTATCACTAGCCTTTATATTAATTAAAGCAGTTAATAGCAAAATTTAAGAAGCTATTATCGCGCTGCAAGCTGTAGAACTTGGGCTATTTAACGACGTGTCAGTTTCTTTGATTGAATCGTCTCTTTGAGAGTTATTGTCTCTTCCCTCATAATGTAACAATGTATTGTGTTTCTTACCACACTTACGGAAACCGGACCATTTACAATCTGTATTAAGGTGACCGCTATTCAAATAATATGAGACAAGCGTCTCACATTTATATAATTTGTGTTCGGCATTACAAATAATACACATATTAGATTTTCCTGTCACCATGAACGTTTGTTTTTTCTGCGAATTATTCTGTGATTTATTTTTCCCGATAGAGTTACTTGAATTACCAGAATGGTTTGAATTCATATTCAAATTAATTGTCGCGATTTGTAAAATTTGACAGCGTTGTTCCAAAAACGTTAGAAACTCTTTCATTTCTGGCATATCGGATCCCGTAACCGATTCTTCCCATTCTTTGTGAGTCATTCTGTCGAGTTTCAAAGTTATAAGATAAATTATTAATGTATCCTACGAATCTACCGGTTCATTTAATGATTTTAAAGCTCGCAAATGAATTTGCACGAGGTCTAGTAATTTTTTCAATTCTTGAGCAGATTCTTTTCCCAATTTTGGATATTCTATTAACGCGTCTACATGAGTTCGAATTATGATACGTTTGTTATCAAATCGTTTTTTAAGCAACTCCCAAGCGATTGAGTAATTTTCTACCGAAGATTCTAGCGAAGAGATAATTGACATTGCCTCTCCTTTAGGACACGATCTTAAATAATGCAATTTTTGTAAGTCGGAGAGATCTCGATTATCGTGAACCATTGATGTTAATGAATTAAAAAAGTCTAATAATTTATCGTATGCACCATCAAAGGTAGCTAATTCGATAGTTGGCAAACGAATATGACTTTGATAAGAAGAGTTTTGATGCACGACGTTTGCTTGTAGTTCATTATTTAATACCCGTGCATTTTCATTGTTAAGCAAGTCGTGGGCAAAACTCAACTCACTGTAGTAAGATGTTTCGAAAGAATCATAATCAGTGGAATTTGTGTCATTAGATAATGCGTCAATTTGAGATTGGACCTCTTCAAATTTCTCTAAAATGCCTTCGATTTTCTGTACCCGCAAACGAATTTCAGTAAATTTTGCCTTATTTTGCTCATTGCTTATAAAAATAACAAATTTCGTGAATTTAGAGCTAAGTACTCTTCTTTCGCCTTTCAAGTCTACTAACTGTTGTGCCGAATCGAGTGACATGGTTAAATGTAATTGTTTACTCTTGAAAAATAATTAATGACTAATGACTGGAATAATATGAGGATTTGGATATAGAGATATTCAAAAACTTCCCTTTCTCTTGATAAGTGTAGACTGGCGTTGGATTCCGTTGGTGAGTCCCCAGACGATGATTGTATTCCTCAGGATGTTTGACTTTGTACCTGGCATTGATCACTTGTATTGTCTTAAAATTTCCACTTCTGTATCGTGTAATTATTTATGTAACTTAATTTAATGATAATGTCCCTTTTTAATAATTCACTGTCACTATAAATTTCCGACGTAGATCGTCAGTTTGTTTAACCCTTTATCACCCGAGCAAAACATAGAAAAGATATAAACCAATGAGATGCCATTCCTAAGGTTTTCGGGGTCGCTGATTACGAAGTTGATGTCAGATTGACATTTTGACAGTTGACAGCTGTCAAAACAACTCAACTTTTGTAAAACAGATTTATTTTTTATAAAGAGACTCCGTAAAGGGTTTTTGGGGTCGCTGATTACGAATTTTATGTCAAATTGACAGTTGACAGCTGTCAAAACAACTGTCAACTTTTGAAAAACTGTTTTATGTTTTATAAAACCCTTTTACGGACATTTTTAAATAAACCAAATTACTCTTTATAAAATTGACAATTATATCAAATGTCAACAATTAAATAATTAATTTGAGTTCAAATTCGAAATCTGCGACCCTAAAAACCTTTTTCCGTCACTTTTATTAAAGAGAAATCAGTCTTATAAAAGCTGACAGTTGGTTTAACAGCTGTTAACTGTCAAATTGCCAATCTGACATCAAATTCGTTATCAGCGACCCCGAAAGCTCTTTTGAAGTCTTTTTTATACAAAGTAAATCTGTTTTACAAAAGTTGACAGTTGTTTTGACAGCTGTCAATTGTCAAAATGTAAATTTGACATCAAATTCGTAATCAGCGAACCCGAAAACCCTTTACGGAGTCTTTTTTAAAACAAATAAATCAGTAATGCAAAAGTTGACAATTCTTCTGACAGCTGTCAACTGTCAAAATGTCAATTGGACATCAAATTCGTAATCAGCGACCCCAAAGACCTTAAGAAACTTTTTATTTCCTTTTTATTAATTTTTTAATGTTCGGATAATGCAAGACAATTTTGCTTCGAAGTGTGCGCCATCTTGAATACGCCATTTTTAATTTTTTGCGAATTTTTCAAAATGGCGACGATATTTGTATTCAGTGGTTTAAAACACTTCACATAGTGAGATTAGAAAAAAAATTTTGACTTCAGCGTCTGTACATGAGCTAACTGATTTTTTTAAACAATTTTTCCAATTTGCATAAACATTTTATTATTTTTTTATATTAAAAAAAATTTTCTATTGTTTACTTTTATTTTTTTTTGGATACCTGGACCGATTCTAAGGAAATCAAGTCCAACCCAGTTAAAAATATTAATATTTAAAAAAGTTACAGTGGTTTTTGTAAGTGGGACATATATGTCCCGCAGGCGTTAAAAGGTTAATTAAATTCACAGAATCTTTATCACAAACACACGTTTTGATTGATTGTCTGGTTATCACTTGATGCACGATAGTTGCACACTTTATATCCGGCTCGAAGGACCATGTTTTTACTTGGCACTGCTTTGGAATTATTTTTAATCAATTGCTCGCAATGCCCGCGCGTTAATTTAATAACACGCGGAGAATAAGTATTGTGGAGAGAAAAAACTGACAGTGAAATTTTAAAGGTGAACAAATTCGTTGTTTATTCATTCAAGTTACAAATCGAAGTGCCTGAAGGCTCTGTCAAATAGAGGGTTTACAGTAGTAGGGATATACATTTTTAGGAGTGGGAGGAATTTCAGATTTTTACCTGATTTTTAAATGTTGTCACAGCCTTTCTGTAACAATAAAAAGCCCCTTTACTTTACCCCTATAAAGTAATTTAGTTCTCGTCTACGTGTGAGTTCAAAAGTTTTGAGGATTAAAACATATTTTTAAGGATTAAGTAATAAAATAAATCTTAAGAAAGATCATTTTGCAAGTTTACAGATTCGTAAAATACATCATAAAAAATTGGAATTCATATCTTTACACATCTGTTACTAATTGTCTTTCTAAACAGAGTAGTTGAAACTATTTTCATAATAAAAAAAATAATCAAATCATAAGTTATCAATAATCAAAATGTCTAATAAAATTAAAATATTTGAAAGGTAAAGAAAAACATTTAAGTTTTCAAAAACTCGTTAATGAAAGATTTTAACCTTGAAAATATAAACGTTACAACGACTCAAGATGAAAACACGTAATACAATAACACGCGTAAACACAATATAAATTTATTTTTCATTTACTATTAAGATTACTCAACACCAAAATTAACTTTTTTGTAAAAAGCTTTTAGAAATGAGTTAATATAAATAGATTATTTAAAAAAATGACTTACAATTTTTATGACAATAAATATGTCAAAAAACAAACAAACATGATAAAACATGTATAAGCGATGAAACGTCCTTCATAGACCATGTAACCGGTAAATGTGATGTACAACTCCATCCGTTTTCAATTTGAAGAGAATTTCCCAAAAATTCAGCAATTATCCAAAGTTGACAGGAAAAAAAATATCCAGGCGAAATACTCTCATGGATCAGCCGTAAAATTTATGAAAAGAGAAAAACTCATCAGGGGACAGAAAAGTCCAGAAACGGTTAGTTTTCATACAGGAAGGAAAATACGCATACCTGTTGCATAGGCAGGAGTGATATGCCTATGCGCCGTTTCAAATAGCATTGAAAAACAAGATGACTGCAATCAAAGTGACTTTGCTGTCACGAGACCGGTAGAAAGTCCAAGGCAAGAAGCAATCGCAGCAACGAGTAATCCTCGAAGTATTGTCATTGAAATAAAATTTTTGTCAATATTTCCTCTCGTCTGGAGCAACAGTTGACAAAGTGTTGGCTGATTATTAATTTTGCTTAGAGATAGAGTGATGAAAAATCAACTATTTCCAAAACGTAAATGCCAAGGATTAAAAGAGAAAAATTTTCTCCATAAAATACCATTGAACTTGTACTTGGATTTTCAATATGTCGACAAATATTCTTGGATAATAAAATAAAAACTTTTTTGCACTATTATAACCTCAATGGCCGACGCAAAAAATCACGTCGGGGTCACCACTATGGGAATTTACTATTATTTTAATATTGAATCAGAAGGTTTTCCATATTTTACATGTCACTACTAAATAACAACAATCAAATTAATAACATTAACAATGTATATTTATAGTTTTAATTAACAAATTATGAGGTTAGGCAAATATCACAAGAATAATATCTACACTCTAAGAACAGCCAAAAAGAAGTGTCTTACACATTCAATTGGTAAGGAGCCTTGCTGCAATCGTACAAGTTAAATTCTTAAATAAATAAAATAAATATTATAAGATATAGATAATAATATATCTATATATATCTATATTATATTTTTCTTTAAATTCTTTCGCCGTAAGGAAACGCACATGCGCTAAAGCTGATGACGAATATGACCTTATTTTTAAAAAATTCAAAATGGCGGATCAAATACGGAGGACGGCAAATTTAAAAAATAATTGTATTCTCTTGAAACTTGTACTCAGGGGTTTTTGGGGTAGCTGATTGTGAATATAACCTTATATTTTGAAAATGCAAAATGGCGGATCTAATATGGCGGACAACAAATTTAAAAAATGATTGTATTCTCTTCAAACTTGTCACTCGGGGGTTTTTAGGGTCGCCGATGACCAATATTAACTTATTTTTTAAAAATTCAAAATGGCGGCTCCAATATGGCGGACGAAAAACTTTTAAAATGATTATATTCTTTTGAAACTTGTTACTCGAGGGTTTTTGGGGTCGCTGATTACGAATATAACCTTATATTTCGAAAATTCAAAATGTCGGACAAAAGAATATTTAAATTTAAATTAAATGGTAACGTTTTTCAGCCATTAAAATATTTACAATGTTGCCCGATTGAAGGTAAGCGTTTTTTGGAGAAACTTTTTTTTTATTTTAAAAATTTTTTTCTTTTTTATTGCTTTTTTTATTTAAATTTTTTTTTGTATTTTATATTTTTTAACATTTTTTAAAAGAATTGTAATCTATTCTTACTTTAATTATTTATTTTTTCTATGTCATTCTGAAAAACACTCTTTGCAAAAGTACTGATTGCATTGCTGACATAATAAATACGTTCTTACTTCACAAGTAACCTTAGATCAGTATTTCCTGTTTTGCGACGTTTCTACTTTGTGATTTTTCATATTATGAGCTCCACTTTTTGTCAAATTATGTTTGACAATATCTAACACAAAATCTTTTGCTGGTTTATACCTTTTTGCCTCCTTTTCTAACAGCATTTGACAATATTACAGCATTGGAGATAGACGATTGAATTAAATGCTGTAGCATCGACCAAATCTATTTTTTTGCTTTCAAAGAAGGCATTAAAGTACTGCAATATAGGAGATCAACTCCACCCATAAAATTATTATAATTTGAAAAAGCGTTAGGCATCGAAATTACTATTTTACTTCTACTTTCCTTTGCGTACCGTTTTCTATCACTTAATGGTTTAATACCAGCACATGTTAACAGCAAGTATACTTCTTTTGAATCAAGTAGTGTGATGTAATTTATGACAGTATTTTTTTCATGCTTTACTTTAAAGTCATCCCTTACAGCATTTTTCTCTAAATTAATTTTTTATCCCACATGCACAAAAACGGCGCTTTCTGATAGCAGCCGACAGGGAGGAAAGTCATTCATTTCTTCGACCGTATGAAAATGGCGGCCGTGTTCTCCCAAGGGCAAGAAAATTAGCTGTTCACATGCATTTTTCTTGCCCAAGGGAGAAATCGGCCGCCATTTTCATACAAATCGAACAAGTGAATGACTTTTACTCCCTGTCGTCTGCTATCTGAAATCGCCGCTTTTGTGCATTAGGAATA